TGCGTGTGTGTGTGTGTTTGTTTGTGTGTGTGTGTAGGTGTGTGTGTGCATGTGTGTGTGTGTGTGTTTGGCCTGCCAGCAGCATGGGAGACTGCTCAAAAAAACAGGGAGCTGTCACTAGTCCTTGTTGGTCTTGGAGGCCTCTGTTGTGTTCCATTGCATTTTTCTTTTCTCTTTCTTTTTCTGCCTCCTTTTCTGTCTTGCATTGCACTCGGCATCATGCTTCTGATTGATTAACCCAGATCTCTAAAGCTGTCTAAAGCTATCTCTGGGTCATGGCCTTACTAACACAGAGAAATATCACTACAATAGAGATCGATATTTGAAAAGTTTGTGGTCTTACACTCTTACATACTCTTTTTAAATGACTGAATGAATCCATATTCAATGCAAATGCATTCATGTTACAATAAAACATATTTCCTTTCCCATGGCCTCATATGTGCTCAGTCATGCTGTGCTGTCGTTGCAGACTCAAGGTTCAGTTCCTCTGGCCAAGAGGAGGGAAGACGAGGTGTCGGTAGGGAGCACACCACTGGCCAAACAACCCTCCAATCAGGCCTCAGACTACGCCAGCAGCCCGGTCAAAACCAAGACAGTAACAGGTAGGTTTACCAGCCCCAGGCTGTGCCATAGGTATAATACTGAAGATATTACTGTGACATTGCACGCCATACAATAACATGACATTGAATCTGTGCACCAGAGAGGTTTACACACATAAAGGGAGCAAGGTTGGCCCAAGGTTCAGTAAAATATCTTCTCTCAGTGTTTGTTTTCAGATGTGATTTGTGTAAAGATTAATATACAAATGAAAACTGCAATGACATTTACTTCTCCCCTGATGTTTGCAGTAACTGCCACTGTTTCTATATTTAAGGATATGGTCTTTCAGTAGTGGAATAACAACAATTTGCTGTATTTAACCTTGTTTCTATGCAATGAATCCATGTTACTATGTGGTTACATAACACACTACAGCTTGCTGACACCTGAGTGAACCCCTTTCTCAGAGGACACCACATATCCAGGCATGTCCTCCTCTGTTTTCCTCCTCGCTAGTATTACTGTGGGCTCTGGATGCCCAGAATAGATGAGTGGCTTGGCTGCGTGGAGCATCCCTCTATGCCAGTTTTCCACTTTCTGGGACCCCCCTGTTCAGAACAAACACATTCAGTGCACATACACACACATGAAGAAATCCACAGAATACATGCATTTATCAGCACACACAAACATGGAGGTATGTCCATACATACATCCAGGTTAATAATACACCACAAACAGACACTCTCACACACCCATGTAGTACCGCTGTGGCCCTTCCTTAGATACTTCCCTGAATTTTCCAAATCGATAATATCTCTTGAGTAGGACACTCTGAACACTTTGGGCAGAGATGGATAGATTGGAGAAACAGAGCAGAGAAGGACAGAGATTAGGGAGGATCGATGCAGTTCCGTACCTTGTCATGGATGTGTCTGCTTGCTTTAGTGTCAGGAACACACCAACACTATCCATAATCTTTTAGGTTGTTGATGTTGATGGTGGTAGTTACTGACAATCCATCAAGTGTACAAATGTAGAGAAAAAAAGCCCTTGTAATGGTATTTTCATCAGTGTGAGGAATCTGTTTAGTGGACCTCAGGGATACTGTGTTGTGATCACAAAAACTACCTAAAGCACACACACATACTATACAGTACTCATGTACTCCTACCTGGGATGATGGCTGCAGCAGCACTGCGTTTAGGAGCTGTCCATGACACAACACAGAGCCGCTCAGACTGCAGAAATGGTTTTCATTTAATACTCATATGGTGTATTTATGAACCTAATAGCCTACCTCCTCTCTCTCATGTTCCCCTATAGATATTTAATTAATGTGATCCAATGGGAAGTCTTGGCTTCATGTAACTGAATTAGTTACAGAGTTTAAAAAACGAATAAATAAATACATTAAAAAGTCTTCCCAGTCTCTACTGTTTGACTCTCACAGGCTCCAGGTCCTCTAAACACTTTAACGGTTGAAACATTCTCTGCCAAAGCATCGCAGTGACGGGTCAGGGGAAATAAGCAAGTGGTTGTTTGTCTTTTTTTCTTCTTTTTTAAGTCCCTGGGAAATGTGTTCCCAACAGGAGTGATGAATCCCTGTTTTGGGTGAAGTCATCCCATAGCTGTAAATAACATTGCATGTGTATGACGTTCCCCCATGTCAAGTGTTTTGATAGGAAAAATGCTCCTTTGACATTTCAGAGTCTAAAAAAAGGCCATTAGGGCTCTTTCCTTGCTCACTTTAAAAGCTCGGAGCTGAAAGGTCACGCTGCCTTTTCCTCCCGGTTTTCCCTCTGTTCCTTGTTTCATCCAATCTGCACTAATGGCTTTTCCATACCGCAGCATCTTTGCTTACTCACATCTCAACAGTATATTGTCTCATTAGGGGTCGTCGGTAAACAGTCACCCTGGCTCCAATACTGCACACAAAGCTAAATCAGGCTGTAGCTTGTCAGCAACACTCAACTGGCTAAAGTACACTGGCTATCAGTGTGCATGGTCTTCCTATCCGCCAGCTGTCGATCTCTGTGACTGGTTCTCCGTCTTGCTGTCTGACTTTTTGTTTTTCTGTCTGTGAAGCTGTTTTTCTGTCTGGCTAGCTGTCTGTTTGTCTTTCTGTTAAGTTATTCTAGTTTTTTCTTGTAGTCTTTTCTCTTTCTCAGTCATGCTGTCTGCATTTTTGTCATTTTGTCTACCACACAGGTGTTTGTTAATGACTGTAAACAAAGCCTAGGCTGAATGTTAGAATTATCTGACAACACACACATACGTAGTGTGTACAGTGTGTTGGCTGTTGAAACGTTAAGTGGTCAGCACATCTGGCCTGAAATTGTGTCTGTTGGAGTGTTTAGTGTTAGACCTATTTGTATAAGGCATCTCATTGTTGAGCTACATTAGTTAGTTAGAAACATATACTGAGTCAGACTCAAGTTCTTTCTTATCCAAATATTTTTCTTGTGAACTTAAAACAAGACATTGGTAACTAGGTGCTGTTACCGTATTTTTCTGCAATTCAACCCTGTGCCGCCACTCCCAACACTCCACGTTGGAATAGAGCTTGCAAGTAAATGAATAGCATCTCGTCTGGAAATTGCTGCGGTGTTACAGGAGTAGATGTAATGAAAAGTTACAAATTGTTTCCGCGAGCAATCAGAATAAGAAAAGGGCAGAGGCATTTAGCCCTTGTGGTTTTAATCATGGTGTAACAATAAGCCTCCCTGCTGTCAGAAGATCTTGATAGACTACAACACTACAGAGGGGCTTAGAGCACAGCAGGTACTCTTGTTTCCATTCCACCTTATCCTTGTTACATAATAATGCATCCTTCCTGCAATTAACTATTTTGTTTCTCCGTGTGCAAAGATGACTTTATGTTTTAAGCCATGAATGAAGAATGTTGGATTGTGGTGATACTTGATACACTGTTTGAGATTCATAAATCTAAACTCTGTTCCACCTCATTTCTCTTAGTAATCTAGTGTCCCTGTGATTAATTGGAGGATGATAAATGAAACGTTAATTTTTTCATATTTCCCAGGGTAGCTGGCCGTGGTGGGGTAGATACTTGATACACAATCTGATCCTGATATTCAACTTCCCTTTGGGTAATAGTTGTTTATTACAGAAGTTTGTGGAAAGAGGTTTTTGCTGAGGCAGCTCAGGTAAAAGTCTACCCAAAAACAGAATTCACATATGTTAACCCCATAACTGTACACAGTTTTACTCATGGTTAGCCTGGACTCCTAAAAGGCTCAAGGTCATGGGAATAACACATGTGGATTCTGTTGTTGGGGTGGATTTTTCCCTTGTAAAACCTTCGCCCCAGTCACCTCATGAGAAGAGCTGCTGACATCTAACATGTTATGATTGGAATTAGGCTCTCTAAAGATGATTTATTAATTGCTATACCATGTGTGGAGCATACTGTGAATAAGGAGCTGGATGTTTAAACACAGGAGGGAGATGTCCAGCCAGGGTCAGCCCTTCAATCCAACTTGGTTATTAGTTTATCATGTTTGCCTGTGGTGTTTATACTTTGTTGACTGTTAGCTGGACATAAAACTGTCTTCTGCTTTTTTCTGTCTTCAGGATGCATTTCATCTCTAAAGCCATTTAGCCGCAGCGAGTCATCTGATGGATTTTTCTGAATCTATTTGTAATTGCTGCGTGTTTACCCCAGGACATCCGATCCAGCTGTTTAGCGTAGGAGGAATCAATAAGCCATAATGATTTACTGAAGGGTAAAGCTGACGTGAATGTAGCAGAGAAATCACCATTGTGTCTTGATGGACCTTAATCTCATCAGTTGTGACGGAGCAAGGTTTTCAGGCAAATTAATAATTGCCCTGAGAAATAAATTGTGTTGTTGTAAGAAATGAATTGAAATGGTCCAGCTCATTTTCCCTCTCTGGAGCGGGTACACAGAAAGACATTCTTTTTTTCTTCTTTTTGCTAAATTATCATTTGGCCTTTTCCTCGATAGCTCTAATGTGCTTGTTTTAACGTGACTCCAAATAAACGTCCAGATATATGACAAGGTCGATTTTAGTTGCGGGTTTATTGCCGGAATATAATTTCTCAAGGGACTCTAAGGGGGTTTGTAATCACTGCAGCAGACGTTTTATTTTTCAGTCTTCAGTCATCTATTTAGGTAAACAGACGAGAGATGTGCACGTTGTTTGCCAGTTGGAGTCAACACGTGTTCGATCTGCCATTCACAGGGATGCACTGGGGAATAAACACATAAGGCTGGCTCGGGCTCAACGGGGGCAGCCAGCCAACTGGACTGCCACTGGTGCTGCTACTCAGTTGACCTTGAGGAGAAGACGTCATGAGGTTCTTGTAGGAACCATAACGCTGGTATTTTGTTGCAAATTAATTTACCATAAGTGTGCAAGTCACAAATTCAGCCCCTGAATGCTCATAATGTGTGTATGGCGCCGCAATCCTGGATACTCCCTGCAAGGTTTCCCTTGAGTCACTTTGTGAAGAGCTGCTGATTTTAAACATGTTACAAATTAAGTTTTTTAAGTTGCCACTTTTCATCCCACAATAATAGTACTTCCAACTGCCTCAATACTGCTGTTAGCCACTTATTGAAACACACTGAAAGAAACAATGTGCATCCTTCAGAAGGCTCCTTTCAGAAACTGTATCAACTGATTCATCCTTGAGGCACTACAGTAAGACTCTCTGCTCCTGGATACATACTGGATACACCCCCCGAGACTCTCTGAAGCCCCCAGTGTGTACTCTAACCATGCATTAAAGTGGTCAATTCAAAAATATAAGTTAACAGTTTACATGTCCAGAGCGTGGTTGTTTGAAATACTATTATAAGATTAAATGACCCGATATGCTGGATATATGGAATATTGATATAGAGCGGTGTTTTGTTCCGCCTGATTATAAACTGGCGAGAGCAGCTTCTTTCTGTGCCTATTGATTATCATAGTTTTCCACTGGAGCTATTGATTTCCCCACAGAAATCACCTCAGGGAATTACAGTAAAATCATAATCCACTGGAAGAAAATCATTTTCAGAGTTTTT